TCATCTGTCCATCATCGTATAAAGCCCGCCCTGACAATTTGATTGGATCGCCTGGCAGTGGGCGATAATACTCGCGCTACTATGGAGCAGAGCCAGACCGAACTTCCTGACCTCAAACTTTGTGGGCGGGACTAAGTTCGGAATGGCACCCAGGCAACTAAATCGGCCCGCCGATCCAATCGATCCCTAAAATTAAGGGATTATACGATTTTTTCTTTCTCCGTTAACAACCCCCATCAGCGCAATCTCCTCAACCTATTGACCTTTTTATTTAGCTTAAATAAAAATTGGATCAAAGTAAATGCGATTTGTGTTGTGAGGTTACTTTAGATGATAAGAGGTTTTTAAATAATGCAATAGTGAAAAACATATTTTCACTATTTGACCTGCCAACTGCTCATCAGAGCCAAGCGTGAGAAAACAGTTTAACTCATTTTCTTAATATTTACACTTTCAAATGTTGCACGTTTTTAACTTTTAACCCTATAATCAGTTCACTGTGTGCAGAGAAGTGCCTGTTTTTATGTTTCGATCCATTATTTAAACCGTTGTGGATTCACAGATAGCTCTTAAAGAAGACTTTTCCAGGAGGAAATGTGTGGATCTTGGTTTGAATATTTGCTGGTTTCTCACAGGAAACACCTTGTTAATAACCCAGCGTATCAACTTGTTGACAAAATGGGAAGTTGTTGTCACGACGATCTGCATCAATGAACTTCAGGCTTCACATCATCCAGTGAAAAGGATTCTATTAATGTTTAGGGAAACATGAACATATGCAGACATGATGGCAGGTTTCATCTTTAACCTCGGCTGGACGCTTCAACAAGACTAATTTGGCACAAAATGGCAGCCATGCGACAAACATACAGTCAGTTAATGCATAATAGTATAGATGGAGGAAGTTAGTGACCCGTGCAGGACACCATTCACCCGTCCCCTACATGAAAAAGGGTCATTATGCAAACTGAGCTGGCAGCGACAAAGGAGGCGCTTTCCTGGGTTCATCTGTGAAAAATGGGAGATGTTAGGATGATCATGGCTGCTCACAGTAGTCTGGATTTTACTGTTTGTTATTTTCCAGTCCTCCCACACTCACACTGACACACACACACACACACACACACTGACACACACACACACACACACACACACATTATTATCCACATCTGGGAAAAAAGTTAACAATGCCTTCAAACATGGAAATGAATGGGTTCTAATGGAAGCTACAGATTCAACATCATAAAGTTAAACTTTAAAGAGATGGAAATAAAAAGAAAGAAAGAGGGAAATAATAATTAACTAGTTATTACCCCTAACTGGAGCGATTATAAAGACTTTAATGTGTCTCTCAGATGTTGTTTTTTTCCATCTTACCTTCAGCTGGAAAGGATGGACCTCATTGAGGGAATGTCTCCTCAGCTCTTTGGTCAGAGTCTTCAGCATTTTACACCAAGCAGCTAATCTCCACTAATTAGCTACTTTAATGTTGTTTAAATGACGGTTAGCAGTTCATTAGCTGTTAACCCAGCCACCTACACAGAGCATATTTAACTGAAACATCTACAACTTGCGCTGTTTTCTTAAAATAAAGCCGAACTTCAGCTTATCCGCTCGGTGTCGATAAAGATGTTAAACTGCGTAGATGCGTCTTGTTTTCATGAGCTCTACGCAGCAAACTGCTTCTTTCCCGCTTCATCAGAGTTCGTAGCGTGACGTTAGGTGAACATGTTCTCCTCTGGAAGGTTCCCGTTACTCTACAACAGTTTAAACTCAGAGATGTTCTCTGAAATGTGATCAAATAATAACCAAACTCTCTCACATTCACACACACACACACACACACACACACACACCGCTGACTGATCGGCGGACACACAAACCGAAACATTAATCCCAGCAGTAGTGCGCGCTGATTGGCTGGAGCTCTGTCCACGGGCTCGTAGTGCTTTTTAATTGGTCCAGAGTGAGCTTATGGGCGGGGCTAAGAGTTAAAGCCACACTGCTGTGCCTTCTTTGATGACATATTTAGTTTATGACCATCAGAAGTGCATAAATGTATGGAGGACCAACTCTGCCATATTTAAAATAAATACAGAAATAAATAAATGCTCAATAAATAAATAGGCATACAATTAATCCCCCCCCCCCCAAAATACAATAAACAAATAAATGTAGATAGAAATTAAATTATACAGTTAGACATAAATGTATATACAGTGGAATCCACTTATAGTGGTCACGGATATAGTAACCAACCGCTTAAAGTGTTCAAAAGGCTTCGGACAGAATCATTTTATGCTGTTTAAATCATTTGTTTATAGTAATCAAGAAATCCACTTATAGTGTTCATTTTTGGCCATTTTATGAATGTAAACATGTGCAAAAATAATTAATAAGTGGATCGAAAGTGATGAAAGCACTCAGAGCCCATGATGGATGAGGACATCATCGCGGAGGTAAAAGAGCGCTTTGGTGCAGGTACCAGTGCTGCAAGCAGCGAGGAAGAGGAGGAGGATGAAGAAGAGGAGACTGTTGTCTCTTCCAGAGCTGAGATGAGGAATCCAGTTTGTATTTTAAAGACTGATCTCCTGCATGTTGGTTTAAAAAACTTTGATTATTTACATCGTTTTGAAAAAGAAGTGAACTCTGTGTTGGACGCTCTGATGCAGGGCACCATAGATAAATATGAAGTGATTCCTTAATGCAGCGCAGCAGATCCGCAACACAGAACAGACGTAGGCTAGCTTTTTCTATGTTGTTGATCTATGAAACCGTTTTTTTCAAACTTTATTTTTAGACGTAAAAAAAATGCACCGGCAGCACCAGGCTACCAGAGTTATATCTGCACACAGCGCAGTATACCGTCATTAAACTTGCATGGTACTGGAATAAAATTCAGTAAATGCGGAAGCCATCAGTGTCATTTCATTTTTCTCATTGAAAAACCACACAAAATGGCATTTAGATGATAATCTGCATAAAAAATAAGTGAAATAACACTAAATTTGGTTTTAGTAATCAATAGCTGTTCAAATTGGCTCAGGACCAGCGTGATCACTATAAGCGGATTCCACTGTATCTCTTTTAATTAGCTTTTTATTTATTCACCTTTGTAATAATCACCTTATTTATTTATTGTCCATTAGAATCTTCAACTTTATTTATTTATTACTTATTATTTTAAGTATATATTTATGTGCATATGATTATATTTTTGTCTGTTTTATTCTTCCTTTGCATTTTTTTACCCTATTTATTTCTTCAACGCTAGTCTCACTGTATAATTTAATTTCTACCTATCATTTATTATTTTATTGTATTTTGGGGGGAAATTAATTGTATGTTTATTTATTTATTGAGCATTTATTTATTTCTGTATTTAATTATAAATATGGCAGAGTTGGTCCTCCATATATTGTACTAATCCATGTGTTTTACCACAAAATAAAAAATGAATGAAATAAAAAAAGTTGTAATTAATTAACTTTTTATCATCAAAAAATCTTTTGTTTTAAAGGCTCAGTCATGAATTTCAGATATTATATATTATATATTAGACTCTAAGAACATTTTCCTTCGTCATAGAGCAGAACACTTGCCTCCTACTGTGACACATAATTCATACCATTTATCACTATAAATATTCAACATCACAGACAAGGTTATGAGACATAAAACTCTGATGTCTCATTAAATCCTCTTTAAATAAAATAAGAAGTAAAGAACCTTTATGTTCCACTGTCATGAATGAGAACTTTGACCTTAAGTCTTTGTCTGCAGCAGGAACATCCAAAGGCTGATCGTTGCATTGAACCGCTGTGATTCCAAACCCTCAGAAATATTAGATGAAACCGTCCAACCAACACGGTGGGTCCAATCTATAATCAACATTTCCACATCCACACAAAATTATCTCTCAGCCAAATAAAATTTCACATATCTTAAATAGTATTTATAGAGAACTAAAACACTTTACTCTTTACTAATATGTTATTCTTAGATATTTTTCTAAGGTCCATATTTGTGTCACCTTTTTTTCTATTATCTTTTTTGCTTCTATAAAAACCAGAATTTCAACCTTGTGGGACAATAAAGGGATTT